CTGGGTGCTATTGCCAACTAGGTGTATCATATACCCTAATATCAAGATTTTGCAGAGTGAACAGTCATTACATATGTTATCATTTATCCTTATAAAACAGTCTACTTTAAACTTCACCTTTTGACCTGATTTAGTGTGATGTTTTAGAACTCCTGTTTGAAAAATAAAACACCAACCGTGCATGTAAAAAAAAAAATAATTAAATTTTGATGTGTTGCTGTATTTCTGTGAGGGCAGAAGAATGATGAGGACAAAATGTCAACAGTGTGTCCCATAGTGATGCACTGGTTAGAGCAGTGTGCCGGGCTGAGCCCTCAGCTCCACCCGAGAAGGTTCTGCGGGGCCAGGAGGTAGGAGCCCAACACCTGTTAACAAGAGCAGCTCCTCATGCTAATTCCACCTAATGCTTCTTGATTTACCCAGAAACATCCAGCGGTCTGTCCTCTTTGGGGAAGCTGTTGACCACCTAGGAGACCTTAGTCTCCACCTTGCACTGTGTGGGTTCACTGTGCACCCTCTTAAATCTCTCCAGAAAGTTGTTTATAAGTTAGACCAGTGTGATGGGTGGTGAGTTTGATCTGTGCTGCTGGGAAGACCAGGCAAGTGAAGAAGGAGCAGTGAACGTGAATGGACTTCTGGGAAATGCCCGTTTCTCCAAAGCCACTGATGTTCTCACAGAATGAATCTGATGAAGAGTCGCCCCATGATGGAGCCCAGGCTAGTCTGGAGGGAGGACTCAGTAGTGAAGCGGGAGAGGAGCCTCCAAGGGCTCCAGGAGACGGTCAAGCTGCTGGGTTCCAAGTTCCAGTTGTCCATATGGTACACTGTACAAGTTGGCTTCATTCAGACCATTTGGGGGAAGAATTGTTTGAGTTCCCAATGTTGATACTGTATTATGTCAACTATAAACAGGGCCAGGGATCTTGTTTAAAAACATAGACTAATCTATTCTAAAACTTTGACAAGAACTTGCTTTTAGATTGTCTTCTTCTCTAGTCTTGAACCAGACCAGCAATTTCTTTTCCTTGCAAACTGGCTATGATCTGCACACAAAGAGTTACACAGATTTGGGGTGTGTGTGTGTGTGTGTGTGTGTGTTAGTTTTTTGGTTTGGTTTTTTTTTTTTTTTGCAGATTTGTTTTGCTTTCATTCATTAAATTGGCCAACAAATAATTATTAGACATTGTGTTGAGCCCTGGAAATAGAAGACACAACCTGTCTTCTTGGCATTTAAATGAGTGAGTACTGGACACAGACAACTATGATACACTGTGAGAGTGTGAATTAGTTTCCTTTGCTACTTAGTGGCCACAAATGTAGTGGCTTACACCAACACAGATTGATGCTGACACTGCTAGGGGTTGTTATTATGTGCCATCGAGTCGCTTGTGACTCATAACGACCCTATGTACATCAGCTCTGAAAGTTGTCCTTTCCTGGGCCAATCTCATCGTCTCCAGCAGACCTAATCCTATTGTTCCAGTCACTGACTCAACCCATCTGATACTGGGTCGTCTTCTCCTGCACTGTCCCTCTACCCTTCCAAACATGATGTCCTTCTCCAAGGACTGGTCCCTCCTGGCCACGTGCTCAAAGTATATGAGATGGGACCTCAAAATCTTGCCTCCAGGGAGCAAACTGGTGTCACTCTTTGCAGGACAGACCTGTTTTTCTCCTGACAGTCCATGGTATGTTCAACACTCTTCTCCAGCACCAAAACTCAAAGGCATCAATCCTTCTTCTGTCATCCTTAGTTATTGTCCAGCTCTCTGATGGATAACAAGTAATTGCAAATACTGTGGCCTGAACCAGGCTCACCTTAGTCAACTGATGATGGGAGGAGTTTTAAAAGTCTAAAATGGGTCTTCAGGGCTCTATTCCTTTCTGAGGCTGTTACGTCTAAGGGGAGAGGAGACCACTGAACACAAGCAGGTGAAGCAGAGAGAGACACAGTGACGGGGCTGTGCCGTGTGAAGGTGGATGTGGGTGGGGAATGATGCAACAATATGCAAGGCCTTTTGGGGTCAAGTAGAGAGTTTGGGGGGCTGTCAGTGATTGCTCCTTCACCTTCTCCCTCACCTCTTCTTTTTTTTTAATTCTTGTTGTAGTTAAAACAGAAAACCTTTCTAGTTCAGCATTTTTCCATGTACAATTCAGTGCCAGTGATTACACACCTCATGTCGTACAACCATTGCCACTACCTTTTTCCAGATGAGTTCACCTCCATTAATAGAAACTCAACTTCCTAGCAATCAATGGCTGACCCTTTCCTGCTCTTCCTACCCACCCACTACTGGTAACCTGGTCATAAAACAAAGACGTATCAATTCTAAAATTTTCACAAGATGGCACCTTCTCCGTCTCCTGGGATTTAGGTTGTCTTCTCCTATAGTCTTGATCCAGGCCAGTAATTTTTCTTCCTCGCAAACTGGCTATGATGTGTATACACAGCCTGCTAACCTTTGTTTTAAAACAGGATTTATTAGTATAAATCTGGGTCTCTACACACTTGTCTGGATATTTCATATGTTGTTGTTGTTGATTGCCTTTGAGTTGAACACAACTCATAGTGACCCTGTGAACAAAAGGCCTGAAGCCCCTCTACAACTATAGACACGTATCAATGTTCATAGAGTTTCTGGAGGCAAGTTGTTCAGGAAGTGGATGTCACTCTTGCTTCCAAACCTGTCATAGGATGTGATGCATATGCGATGCATAGCGACCCTGTGTGCAGCAGCTCTGAACCCTGCCCTGTCCTGAGCCAGTCTCACTAATCCGGACACACCAACCCCCACTGCCCCAGTTACTGTATCAATCCATCTCATAAAAGTCTTTGTCCTTTATGCTGAGTGAAATATCTCAGTCACAAAGGGACAAATACTGCATG